CTCCAACGCTTTGGCAGGAGCCAGACTTGGAAACATGTGAAGGTGCCTTCTACTGATCATTGGTCCATCAAGGTCAGGATTATCTACTCAGACTGGCAGCAGCTCTCCAGGATCTCGGCCAGAGGTCCTTCACATCGCCTACTACATGATCCCTTTAACTGGAGATGCCGGGAATTGAGTCTGGGACCTTCTGTATGCAAGGTGGAGGCACTTCCACTGAGCCACAGCCCCTCATCTGCAATACCTAGTTCTGACCTCATGAAGTGTGCAGAAATAAAAAAGTTATATTTCATCAGAGGGGAGCGGTCAATGCGGCCCCCTCCCATCTCTGTGAGCCACTGTTCTGGACGTGCCTCTTGACCACTGGAAAAGAGGGTTGCCAGCTCTCTGTTGGGAAATCCCTGGAGGATTGGGGGCAGAACCTGGGGAGGGCAGTATTTGGGTAGGGAACATAATTAGGGTTGCCAAGTCAGATTTTCGCTGCAGTGGGGGACTCCCGGTTGGCGGCTGGAGTGCCCTTAGATGACTGTGGCCCTGCCCCCAGCGTACCCGGCGTGGTCGCGTCACTTCCGAGTGACGTGCACGTCGGGGTGGGGTTCCCCCTGGGGCCCGATCCACCGGCGGCAGGGAACGGGCCTCTGGGGGGGGGTTTTCCCCCCCCCCCCGGGGGGACTTGGCAAGCCTAAACATAATAGGGCTGTAATCCTGAATATTAAGTTGACTAAATTTGTTTCATTTAAAGAAAATTTACATAAAATGTTCTATAGATGGCACCTAACCCCAGATAGGTTAGCCAAAATGCATAGAAACTTGAGTAATAAATGTTGGAAATGTAACAGTCATGTTGGATCATACTATCACATGTGGTGGACATGTAAAAAGGTTCATAAATATTGGACTGGAGTACGTACTCTTTTACAGTCAGTGTTGAATATTACAATACCTTTTAAACCAGAGATATTCCTGTTAAACTGTTTACCAGATGACTTAGATAAGACCCATAGATACTTTATTTTACATGTTATAACAGCAGCCAGAATTTTATTTGCAACGGCATGGAGGACACTGAAAATCCCAACGCTTTATGAGTTAATAATGAAGATTATGGATTGTGCCGAAATGGACAGATTGACAAATATATTAAAAGGAGAAATGGAAGAAGAATTTATGGGACCATGGAGGGCGTTTTATGACTGGTTAAGACACAAGTACTGAGAAACTAAGATTAAAGAGAGCCAGTTTGGTGTAGTGGTTAAGTGTGAGACTCTAATCTGGGAGAACCGGGTTTGATTCCCCACTCCTCCACTTGCACCTGGCTGGATGACCTTGGGCAAGCCGTAGCTCTGATAAGAGCTGTTCTTGAAAAAGAGCAGTTTCTGTCAGAGTTCTCTCAGCCCTACCTACCTCACAGGGTGTCTGTTGTGGGGAGGGGAAGGGAAAGGAGTTTGTAAGCCGCTCTGAGACACCTTTGGGTAGTGAAGGGCAGGGTATAAATCCAATCTCTTCTTCTTCTTTTACCTCACAGGGTGTCTGTAGTGGGGAGGGGAAGGGAAAGGAGTTTGTCAGCCGCTCTGAGACTCCTTTGGGTAGTGAAGGGCAGGGTATAAATCCAATCTCTTCTTCTTCTTCTTTTGCCTCACAGGGTGTCTGTTGTGGGGAGGGGAAGGGAGAGGAGTTTGTAAGCCGCTCTGAGACTCCTTTGGGTAGTGAAGGGCGGGGTATAAATCCAATCTTCTCTTCTAAATGAAGAACAATAAGAATGATGGCTATAATATCTGTGAAGCTTTCAAGAGAAGATTTGCATGCAGAATGTTGAATTGGACTTTTAAAATATATTTCTGTATCCTTTCTTTCCCCCCTCCCCCTTTCTATGTATAAACTAATAAAATTCTTTTAAAAAATAGGGCTGTAATCGATAGAGTCCTCCTCTGAAGTTGCCATTTTCTCCAGGGGGACTGATCTCTGTATTCTGTAGATCAATGATAATTTCTGGAGAACTCCAGGGCCCCCCTTCCCCTTTCTATGTATAAACTAATAAAATTATTTTTAAAAAATAGGGCTGTAATCGATAGAGTCCTCCTCTGAAGTTGCCATTTTCTCCAGGGGGACTGATCTCTGTATTCTGTAGATCAATGATAATTTCTGGAGAACTCCAGGGCCCACCTGGAGGTAGGCAGCCCTGAGCAGTAGTTCCTACAGAACACTTGCTCTACATTTTAAATTAACATAGAATCATAGAATCATAGAGTGGGAAGGGACCTCCAGGGTCATCTAGTCCAACCCCCTGCACAATGCAGGAAATTCACAAATACCTCTCCCCCACACACACACACCGTGACCCCAGTTCCATGCCCAGAATATGACATCAGGTCCGAGCCTGATGCTCTTGAACTTTTTGCATGGCGTAGAACATGTGAAACCTTGTATGAATTCTATATTTTGCTGTTTTTAACTCCTGTTGTACGTTGCCCAGAGCCTTGTACATTCAGGGATTGGGGGATCCAATAACAACAACAACAAAAATATACACCCTTGCCTGGCTTTGGGTGCCGCATTTTAAACTACAGGCCCCGATTCCTGATCATCAATCAAACAATTGCAGGGTGGACAGTCATGACAAAACATCAGCTCAGTAGCCAATCGTCTGTGTAAGCAAACGTGAAGCTAGCAGCATTTTTCTGTTTTGACAGCTTCTAAGGATTAGAATTAAGGGGATAAATGTCAGTAGGGTCAGAGGGCTCTTACACCCTTAACACCGCTGGATCTCTTTGCATGAGCTATACTGTGTTTGGGTTTCCAGGGCTGCGGTCACACAGAGCATTAGCCACGCTACAGAGACGGAAGATAGGCTGATTTTCCGGGTGCGATCTCACCGCCACATCTGGGAAGTGAAGAGCTCCCGTGGCGAACCCGAGGCTTCCCGCCGAAGATGCGGGGTAAAAAACTAGTACCTCCGAGGTACTAGTTTCCGGAAACCGCGGGGCAAGGGCGGGCGCCTGATCGCGTTTCCGGTGGAATCCTGTGGCATCCGGCGCCCACCCATGTCCCGTCGCGAAAAGGTCCCCCCCCCCCAAGTCTCCACAGGATGCGCCCAAGCATCCAACGGCGCATGGGCATGACCATGCGCGGACTTTGGTGGGGAAAAACCTCCAGTTTCCCACAGAAGTGGCGCCTAGCAATTGCTGTTGTGATCGCGCCGCGCTGCTTCTTTGCCACGCCGCAGGATTGTCGTGTGATCGCCTCCCTCGTTTACCCGCCGGCACCGAGGGAAGGACCCGTGGTGTGCCGCCGGCGTGTCTGATCGCGTAATCGTGGATCAAAATGCGCCGGGGCAATTAGCCACGCCTCCCCCCCCCCCCGCGATATCCGGCCCGGGTGACCGGGGCCCAGGTTGCATAATGGAGGACTCAGCTGCAGGGCTATATAAAGTGTCAGCTGATTAGAAGAGCTGATGAACAGGAGTTGCAAAATGACTATATTTCCATCTCTAAGTCCCCTGGAAACCAGCTGTGGAAACACGGTGCAAGTGGGAATTAATTACAGCCCATTAACGATCTACTTCCAAGAGACAGTATTTTTCTGGGCCTGATACCAACTTGAGACATGGTGGTGAGGAGGTCAGACCAGAACCAGGAAGAGAGGAGGAGGGGCCGTGGCTCAGAGCATCTGCTTGGCACCTGGAAGTTCCCACAATCAATCCCCTGTAATAATCTCCAGGTAAAAGGACCAGACAGGAGGTGATGTGAAAGACCTCTGCCCGAGACCCTGGAGAGCCGCTGCCAGTCTGAGTAGGCAATACTGACCTTGATGGACCAGTGGTCTGATTCAGTAGAAGGCAGCTTCATGTGTGTTCATGTGACCTGAATTCAAATCCCCACTCATAACAATCCGGGTGTGTGTGTGTGTCAGTCACTCTTTCTCAGCCTATCCTACCTCACCATGTTGTTGTAAGGATAAACTGGGAGAGTGACGAACCGTGTCAGCCACCCTGAGCATCTTGAAGGAAGGGCAGGGTTAAAACACACTGCTAGGGATGCCGGCCTCCAGGTGGGACCTGGGGATCCCCAGAATTACAGCTCATCTCCAGACTACAGAGATAAATTCCCCTGGAGAAAATGGATGATTTGGAGGGTGGACTCTGTGGTATGATAAAAAAGTAGAGACATCACCCTGCCAACAAAAGTCTGTATGGTCAAAGCAATGGTATTCCCAGTAGTCATGTATGGCTGTGAGAGCTGGACCATAAGGAAGGCCGAGCGCCGAAGAATAGATTCTTTTGAATTATGGTGCTGGAGAAGACTCTTGAGAGTCCCTTGGACTGCGAGAAGATCAAATCAGTCAATCCTACAAGAAATCAACCCTGACTGTTCCCTGGAAGGCCAGATAATGAAGCTGAAGCTCAAATACTTTGGCCACCCAATGAGAAGGGAGCACTCACTGGAGAAGACCCTGATGCTGGGAAAGACTGAAGGTCAAAGAAGACGGGGACGGCAAAGGATGAGATGGTTAGACAGTGTCATAGATGCAACGAACATGAAGTTGAGCCAACTTCAGAGGACGGCGGAAGACAGGAGGGCCTGGCGTGATCTGGTCCATGGGGTCGCAAAGAGTCAGACTCGACTGTGCGACTGAACAACAACAACCCCACTGAGGTCCCCGTCCTCCCCAGGCTCCATCCCCAAATCTCCAGGAGTTTCCCAACCTAGATCTGGCAACCCTACGCCCTCCCATCTGCCCTCCGGTGGCCGGGGGCGACCCGGCAACCCTACAATGGACAGGTGGCCCTCTTTTTCTCTCTGCCATCCAACCTCCGGAAAGAAACATTTCCGATATATTTCTGAAGGAAATAGACCCATATCAGGGTAACAGGTTGGGTATCTTTGGTCCTTGTCAGGTACATCCATTTCCCACCTGTGCTTGAACCTTGCTTACTTCTGAGAGAACCTGAGAACAACGCTCAGGTTGAAAGATGGATCTAGTACCCCAAAAGATCCCCTTACCTCTGGTGTGTGTTTTACCGAGAGCTTTACCAGGCTTCGCAGTTTTGACAGGACGTCGATTGGCTTTCAAAGGACGCTGCGTCCGGACGTTCTTCTGCATCTATGGGATCAGCCGCTAATTCTCAACACGATCCCGAGCATATCCAAGAAAGCTTGAAATCTTTTAAATGGAGTACATTATTCTCAGAGGCCTAGCGTCAAGGACATCCTTCTGGGGACACATTGCTGTCTTCTTGGGGGAAGAGTCCATTTTCCTCTCTTTGCATCGCTCAGTCATGAAATGTAGAGACTCTGCCAGTCCTTCTGTTTATTTACTGCAGGTTGTTCGGAGAAGGTTTATGGGCCTTCCCACGTGACAAGAGAAGCAAGCGAGATGAAACGGATTAGGATTACTCGCAGGAGGATTACGAAGAATTTTCGTTCGCTGGCTGCTGTCGTCTGAGGAACTGACCATGAACACCTTGTGGTGTTCCTTCGGCAAAGGGCTTTGAAGGGATTTTTAAAGGTTTCCTCCAAAGGTTACTAACTCTGGTTTGGAAAATACCTGGAGAGTTTGGGGGTGGAGCCTGGGGAGCCAGGATTTGGGGAGGTGAAGGAACTCAGCAAGGTATAATACCATAGCGTCCCCCTTCCAAGACAGCCTAGGGATGCCAGCCTCCAGGCGGGACCTGGGGATCCCCAAAGAGAGGGGAAGAAAAACGAAACCAACCAAGCAAAAACCTCCAAAGGAAGTTCAGAAAACTAGTAAAGGGCCAAAAGTTAAAAACATCAATAGGTATAGACAAAGGTACACGTGTTTATTTCAAAAACATATAAAAACTTTGTAGGGGCCCGAATAAAGGCTCGTAAAACAAAGTGACAAATGCACAACAAAGAACAATCTATGACCTGACGCGTTTCAGCCCACAACCATTGTTCCCTTTAAGCTGAGTTAATGTGAGCTAGCTCACAGCTTTTTAGCCTCCAGCTCACACATTTTTGTCTTAGCTCAGGAAGGATGTGGCTCCAGAGCAAATTAATTTATGCAGTAGCCAAATCACTTGCTCACAACTTTAATGCCAGTAGCTCACAAAGTACAATTTTTGCTCACAGGACGCCACAGCTTAGAGGGAGCATTGTCACAACAGCCTTCTTTAGAGGTCGAATAGTACAGAATACGACATGCAACAAAGCCCCCATTTACACTTGGAAGGCGGTAAACAGTTGATGTAGGACCGAAGCGGGAATGTTCCAATCTGGAATTGAGGGACACACAAAAAAGTTTTTGTTTGTGGGGCCACAAATGCGTCTGGCCTTCTGTCAGAAGCAATTACATATATCAGAGATAGTAATATGGCCAGTATGTACCTTCCAGTTTAGGTCCTAAGAGCAGGGCTATTTTTGGGCAGGAACGCACAGGAACGGAGTTCCGGCTGGCTCCCAAGTTTGCCACACCCAGCAGGAACTCATTAGCATAATAGGCCACACCCAACAGCAGAAACACATTAGGATTGGCTACATTAGGGGTGTGTGGCCTAACATGCAAAGGAGTTCCTGCTACAAAAAAAGCCCTGGGTTTTGACCACAACAAGGTAAACAGAATAAGAAGCAAAAGGTGGGTGGGGCTGGATGACCACACTTCTGGTTACATGGGGGTGCGGCCTAATGTGGTAATGAGCTGTGCTGTCAGGGGTGTGGACTAATATGCTAATGAGTTCCTGCTTCTGGGTGTGGCCTATTATGGTAATGAGTTCCTGCTGGGCTTTTTCTATTAAAAAAGCCCTGCCTAAGAGTACAAGTAAAATCGCTTTATCAGGGCCAATGTCACATCGATATGTAACAGCCCCCTGGAATTGATTACAGCTCATCTCCTGACTACAGAGATCAGTTCCCCTGGAGAAAATGGCTGCTTTGGAGGGTGGGCTCTGTGGCCTTGGACCCCACTGAGGTCCCTGATCTCCCCAGGCTCCATCCCCAAATTTCCAGGAGTTTCCCAACCTGGATCCTACTCCTTCATCCCCCACCGGTGGCAAGGGGTAGGGTTGCCAGGTCTGGATTGGAAAATACCTGGAGACTTTGGGGGTGGAGCCAGGAGAGGGCGGGGTTTGGGGAGGGGAGGGGACTCAGCGTGGTCCAATGCCAGAGAGTCCGCCCTCCAAAGCAGCCATTTTCTCCAGGGGAGCTGATCTCTGTCAGCTGGAGATCAGTTGTAAAAGCGGGAGATCTCCAGGTCCCACCTGGAGGCTGGCAACCCTAGCCAGGGGGAACTGGAAACCCTGCCAGCCATTTTCTCCAGGGGGGACTGATCTCTCTCGTCTGGAGATGAGCTGTAATTCTGAGAGATCTCCAGGCCCCACCTGGAGGTTGATTTCGGCTGGACCCTCCACAGTCCAGAACTCTCCTCTCTCTTGGTTTCCCTTTGCATCTCGACTTGTAGGTTGTCAGCTCTGGATTGGGAAATCCCTGGAGATTTAGAGATGGAATTTGGGGAGGGAAGGGGTTGGGGAGCAGAAGTGCCTCATCCGGGTATAATGCCATAGAGTCCACCCTCCAAAAGCAATCATTTTATCCAGGGGAACTGATATCTCTAGTTTGGAGATCAGTTGTAATTCTGGGAGAGCTCTTGGAACCCTGCTTCCAAGCCTTGTTCTACTACTACTCTGCTGAGAGCAGGGGTCTTTTTGTAGAAAAAGAGCGGCAGGAGCTCAGTAGCATAAGGTAGGCTAATGAGCTACTAGGCTATTAGCATAATAGCTCATTAGCATGTGCAACACTCCCTGACATCGCCGGAAGTGATGTCAGAAGGGGAAGCAAAAGGGGAGGGGAAGGCATCTTCAAAAGCCTCCCCTTCCCTTCCCTGGAAGGGGGGGGGAACAAAGAGAGAAGGGGTTTAAACTTTACTAGAGTTGGGCCACAAAAGGAAGAAAGAAGGGAGGAAAGAGAGAGAGAGAGGAAGGAAAGAGT